GGGGGGCGCTCGCGCCGGGGTCTCCCGGCCGCTCACCCTGCTCGCGCGCGCTCGCGCCGCCCCCTCCCTGCGAGGGGCCCGGCAGCCGACGTCGCGCCTGCGCAGACGCCGGGGAGCCGCTCGCGTCTGGGCGCAGTGCGCCTGCGCGAGGAAAGTCCCCCTCGGGGCCCCCCCCTTTACTTTTTCTCCCGCCCTCCTTCAGAAGGCCTGGAACAGAGCAGAGGAGAGAGAAAACTGGGGTGCCTGCCAATCGAGGGAAGGGTGGGTGGGGTGGGGGGCGGGAAGAGGGTGAGTAGCCTAGAAAGGAGGAAATGAAGAAGGCGGAGGCAGGGCGAACAGAAAAGCAGGCAATAGGAGACCGGGGCCCTGGGCCTCCTGGCCAATAAACACAGCTGGAGAGTGAGCGATCGCGGAAGGGCGGGGAACGAGGCTGGTGCTGGACGGTTTAAGAGGCAGGGCCTGGAAACGGTTTGGCCGATACAAATGTTGAGAAGGGAACCAATGGAAAGGGAGCGAGGCAGTCAGACTGACCGACGGTCGTGTCCGTTCGCGTGACGACAGCGTCAACAGTCAATAGAACTGGAGGATCCTTAGACTTCCTGAGACTTGTGTAATTAACTTGTCAGCCAATGACTGTCTTCCTCCGCTTTGCCAGAGGGTGGGTAGGCTGAACACTCCCAGCAAATGGTAGCTTCGAGGGGCAGGGATGCTGCCAGCAGGCGGTGCCAGAGCAAGAATAGTCGGTGACAACCAGAGGCAAGCGCGAGAGGAGGTGACAGCCGGAGACATCACTGAGAATGGGCCTGGTGCATCGGTGCGGCTCCGAGCCAATAAGAGTGCCGTGCTGGCCTTCTTGGGTTTCCAAAAGGCCCCCATTCAATTCAGCTCCGGAGCTGCACCACAAACCCAGTGCCCTCATCAGTACCTCTACCTCGGCGCCTCTAATTAGACTATTGTCAGTCCTCCAGAAGATGCATCGCTCCAAATTCCCTGTTTCAGGCAGGAATCTCAGATCCGCTTTCTCATATATAAACCGAGCCTCAACCTCGAGCGCTGTGATTTCTGAAACCTTATCTCTCTGAGTGCAACCTCGCTCTCAGGGTGCGAGGGGGAAAGGAGGTTCCATCTCAGAACCCAAATCCATGAATCCCCAATACCACCAACCTTCCATATCTGTTTTCCTGTTCTTTGGAGGTTTCAAGACCCAAGCCCTGTCGTTATCACGCCTCTTTTGTACTCATCTGTTAATCTAGTCTCCAATTTCATGAGCCCTCAAGACAGCCCTTAGACCAAACCCATAAGCCCTGACCTTGAGCTCTAACCTTCCGACTACTTCATGTTCACCCTCCCCCAGTGTCTCGGTATAGCTGTCCATTGCTGTCCTGAAATTCACCCTGTAGACCAGGCTGGCCCGGAACTCAGAGATCTGCCTGCCTCTGCCTCCTGAGTGCTGGGATTAAAGACCTGCACCCCACCACCACCCAGCAAACCTGCCAACTTCTAAACACAGCTTCCTCTGTTCTCCATTCTCTTGAGCCCCAGGATTAGTGGGCCCCCCAGATCCACACAGCATCTGACACTCTCAGATTCTAGTGAGAGCTGGCATTCAACTCCCCAGTTCATGGTTGGCTTTTGAGTTCTGAGGCTCTTCAGCCTTGTTGGTTCACTCCCAGCTCAGTGCCAGACCCTGTGATGAGCCATCGGGTCTCCTTTTTAACCTCCCCATCTTCCATTTGACTCGAATGTACTGACTCCCCAAATCCTATCCCCCTTTTGGAGTCTTTCTCATCTCCCAGAATCCACTAGTGAGTGGGCCCCTCCATGACGTAGCCCCCCGTGGTACCCATATAAGGCAAAACAGCTGCCAACTAAAGCAGGGAGGAGCCATGCCGAAGGCCAAGGGCAGCTGCTAAGTTTAGGGTGGCTCCTTCTCTCTTCTTAGAGACAACAGGTGGCTGGGCCCCAGCGCCCAGAAAAGAAAATGTCTTAGCGGCACTGGCATGGACTGGAGGAGGGGAAGGGAGGAGACACATTCCTCAGGACATCAGGTCCTAAAGGGAGCAGGAGGGGATGGATGTCATTGCCAACCCGGGGTTTCCTCTGCTATTTCCCTAGTCTTCCATTGCATGGAACACTATGGAGCCCTGGGGCCCAGAAGGTCACGAAAGTCGCAAAGTCAGCCACGCTAGTTCTTTTCTGGGAAGGAGAAGCCACTGGCCACGCTACCCAGGAGAGGATGGCAGCCAGCACTTCCTTCCTGGGGTCCTTGTCACTTCTCTTCTGAGCTCCTGCCTCAAGTCATACTAGTCCTCTCTCGCTTCAACCCTTTCAAAGTTCACAAATGTCTCTGCTTGCCGTTGAAAACCCCGCAGTGTCTGGTCACCAACCCTTAGCACGCATCCCCATCACAACTCTGGCAAACCTAACAGCTGCCCTTCCACTCTCCCAGCCTTCGCCCAAGGGCTGTGCCTTGCATATCTGCTCACCAGCCCTCGCCTGACTCACGTCCTCAGCTTTCTGTTGAGTTTTGTTGTGGTGGTTGTCATTGGCTTGCTTGCCTGCAAAGCCAAACACATTATACATTTGCCATAAATGCTTCTTGAGTTTAGATCTGTGTCCACCCCACTCAGGGGCTCAAAGGTTTGGTTCATCTCTCCCAGAACTGTGGCTTGCCCTGGGCCCCTCTGAATTCTGGCACATTGCAGTCCCCTTTTGGGAGAAAGAACATCCCTTCCTGCCTAGGTCCTAATGAGACTTGCATCCCAAGACCTCCTCCCTCCTCCCTCCCTGGGCTCCAGCTGCTGCAGGCCTCCAAGAAAGGAGAGGCCCCTGAGCCTTGCTATTTTAGTATCTGGGGTGGGTATCCGCAGGGCTAAGGTTACCATGGTATGTTAAGGGCTGCTGGGCAGGACTATATAACCCCAGAAGACCTGCTCCAAGCAGATTCTCTGCCCTTTTCCAGCTGGAGCCACTGCCTTGCCCCCAGGAGATCTAAGACATGGTGAGTGAGAGCCCCCACTGCAGTCCTGACCCCTTAGCTCAGGGTAGCCTCACCCTCCAAAGAAAGCAGTTATTCCTTCTCCATCCATCCACAGGCAAAATACGTACCCTCTCCCTTTGCACGAGAGTGGGGCCAGAGGATGGAGTGATGGACCGAAGGACTCAGTCAAGGATAACATGCTTAGATATCCAACCATAGGGGGGAGGGGGAAGTTGGACCTGCTCAAAGTCTGTTTCACCCCATTCTTGCCTAAAGTGCTCAGACCAGCGAGGCGATTCCACTCCCTCCGTACAAATGAGAATTAGAAATTCACACAGGGTCAATGAGTGGATTAAGCTAGCATCAGTGCCAAGTTGGCAAGCTGAGGGTCCTGGGAAGGACATTTGTCAGGCGGGATGAAGAAGAGGGCCTGGAAGCTTCAGTTGGGAAGAGATGCAGCCCAAACAAAGCACCTTAGCCAAGAGATGCCAAGAAAAAGAAGAGTTACATTAGAAGAAGGGGCTCAAGGATCTCAAAATCTGACCAGGCATGGTGGTGGATGCCCATAATCTCACTGCTGAGGAGTCCAGCCTGAGCAATGTAGTGAAAGCCTATCTCAAAAGAAAAGAGGTAGAAGAAGAAGAAAGAAGAGGAGGAGTTGGGTGAGGTGATGAACATCTTTAATCTCAGAAAGGAGAGGCAGGTGGATCTCTGAGTACCGAAGGAAAGCCTGGGTCCACATGATGAGTTCTAGGGCTAAATAGTGAGACTGTGTCTTTAAGAGAGACAGACACAGAGACAGAGAGACAGAGCTGGGTTGCAGGTATAACTCAGTTGACTGGTAGTGCTTGCTTAGCATGCACAAGCAACCAAATAAAACCTGACGTAGCAGCACAAGATGATAAACCAGGTGCCTGTACGATTGGGGTAGTGACGGAAGCAAGGCCATCCTCAGCTAAGTAGCAAGTCTGAGGGCTACATGAGACCCTGTCTTTAACTGCAACAGAAGTCTGGCTTGTTGCTCCCAAGAGAAAAGTACTGGAACTGTCCTGTGGACTCTCCCTCTCTCCTTTACCCTCACAGGCACCCAAGAAGGCCAAGAGAAGGGCAGGAGCAGAAGGGAGCTCCAATGTCTTCTCCATGTTCGACCAGACTCAGATCCAGGAGTTCAAGGAGGTAAAGGAGGGAGGCTAAGGAAAGCCCCCTCCCTGCCCCTCCTCCCCAGAGAGTGCACCTGTCAGGGGGAGGAGGAGGGTTTAGAATTCCTCCCCTCCCTGTGAAGGTTGGAGGGGGACAGCTGGCTCAGAGCCAGAATCTGATCCGCCTAGGAAAAAAATGCTGAAGCCATCCGCCCAGGCCCATTCCTGGCTTCATGTGTCCCCACTCCTTCCCCTCCACAGGCTTTCACTGTAATTGACCAGAACAGAGATGGCATTATTGACAAGGAGGATCTTCGGGACACCTTTGCAGCCATGGGTGAGCTCCCTACTCCCACCCATAAACATTGAAGGCTATGGAGTCTAAGGGGAATCCAGTGGCTACCGGCCTCCATCTGCCCAGATGAAAAAAAAAAAAAAAATGAATGGGCTGATATAATTTTATGGGAAGCACAGCTCCGGTCCCCGGCACCCAACCCCAACCCCTGCTGCTCACCCCACTCAGGCCGTCTCAATGTGAAGAACGAGGAACTTGATGCTATGATGAAGGAAGCCAGCGGGCCCATCAACTTCACTGTCTTCCTGACCATGTTTGGAGAAAAGCTCAAGGGTGAGTGAAATGTTCTCAGTCCAAGACCCCGGTTGTCCCTCCCAGCCCTTCAGGGACTTGCTGGACCCTTGTGTCCTGTGACCCTTCAGGTGCCGACCCTGAGGATGTCATCACTGGAGCCTTCAAGGTCCTGGACCCCGAAGGAAAAGGCACCATCAAGAAGCAGTTGTGAGTGACCCCTTCTTAGGCTCCTGCTTAAGGGCTGCAGGTTGACAGGATGAGAGAGCAAGGAGGACTGAGCGACAGACAGGGTTACATTTTTACAATAAATAAGGGGAGAAGTTCCAGACAGGAGGCCACAGCATTTGGGAGAAGAGCCAGACTGAAAAGAGCTAACCTTGTTTCAGGAAAGAATGGGGGGCGGTGGGGAGTTGTTGGTGGCAACAGGTGTGAAATGAGAGGGAACAGGACTCATGAACCCAACCTCACCTCCCTGAACGTCACCGTTTCAGCCTGGAGGAGCTGCTTACCACGCAGTGTGACCGATTTTCCCAGGAGGAGGTGAGCTGGGGAGGGCTTGGGAAGGGGCAGGGCTCAGCAGTGGGGGTGTGAACAGTCGGGGTGCCAAGACCGGCCCTAGACCTACTCCTGTCTTCCTCCAGATCAAGAACATGTGGGCAGCCTTCCCCCCAGATGTGGGCGGCAACGTGGACTACAAGAACATCTGCTATGTCATTACGCACGGTGACGCTAAGGACCAGGAATAGGGGACCCAAGATCTCGGAAGACCTAGATAGGCCTCGAGCCGCTCCAACTCTCACCCCGAACCCCAATAAAACTCAACTGGTCTTTGTTTCTTATTGGTGGCTGTTGGTGGCAACTTCAGTATGTTTACGCGCGGACTCGGGCGGGAGGCTGAAGCACAGCCCAGCAAGACAGGGGTGACTAACAGTGGGCTGACTAGTGGCCGGGAGGCCCGAGGGGAGCCAGCTCCATTCCTGCTGGGAAGAAGACTCCGGCAGCTGGGAGGAGGGGAGAAACCGCTTTTTATTAGATGAGAACTTGGAGGACCCCAAAGTGGAGCCCTCCGACAGGCGTTAGGAGGGCCGGTCTTCTCAGAACGGTGCAGAAGGCGGAGTGGGATTGGAGGGACCTGTTTCAAGTGCAAGGGCGGGCCTAACCTCCGGGTCTCCGGATTGGGCACTGGGCAGCCCAGAGCCGGGATAGGACGGGAGATGGGCGGAGAGCAGATAGGGCTAGGGGAGGGCGAGGCTATCACAGCGCGTCGTTCTGGTCGCCCTGAGCCTGGCTCTGCTGCATCTGGGCTTGCATCTTCTCCAGCATTTCTTGCATGCGGCGCAGCTGTCAGGAGCAAGATTGCAGGCAGTGGGACCCGGCAAGGCCGGGATGGGATCTAGAAGGCGGTCTAGGGCTCTAATTAGAGGGGAAAAGACGTGCTTGCCCACCTCTTCGTCCTTCTCGCGAATCAACTTCTCCGTGTCGGCCAAAGGCAGCATGGGCAGCGGGATCTCTGTGGCACTCTGCCGGGAAAGCTTGCTAGAGGGTAGAGGAAAAGGGCGTGTGTGTGTGTAGAAAACAGGGCGAGGTCTGAAGTTGTGGGTCTAGCCTTGGGGCGAATTCCACGTGTGGGACGCGGGGTCTTGTCTCAGAAATTAGAGACGGAGTGGGAGAGGCTTGGTTGGACCTAGTAAGCGGGGTGGGGGTGGGGTTTAGGACGGGTGGCCGGACCAGACAGGAAGGCTTGACCAAAGGGTGGCGCCATGGAGGCACCAAAATAGCCCGACACTCACCTACGGCTGGCTCGATCCCGGGCCCCAGGACGAGCCAAACTCTGTAGGCAGCGAGCCCGGTAGCCCTCGTAGAGCAGGTCGTGGGTCACCTCCTTCAAGTCCTGAAGGTGGGTCTGCACCAGCATCCGCCTCAGGTTCAGGAAATCGCAGTGATGCGGGTTCTCCACTAGGGGGCGGAGCAGGTAGCTTTCCGTTCAGCTCCACCCTTAGGGTCTGCTCTCTGGGAGTCCCTCGCTAGTCTAGAGAAGGACCCGCGGTTTGCAGCCCAAGAACCCCTCCTGTGACTTTCAGGAACTGCCAAGGCTGGAGCCCACCTCCAGCTTCACCAGTTGCATGCCTGGCCTTACCCTCCACGGTACCCCAGGAGTAACGGCGGCCCCTCACTGGCCGGGCTCCTCCATCCCTCACCACTTCGCACGACCCCACGACTGCGAAAGGGATGTTTTCCTAAGGGGCAGGAGGCAGCAGTCACGTTGGCTCCTCCTGGGCATGGAGTTCTTTCGCAGCTTTCCCCTCCTCTTTTACTTTCAGCTTCGCTGCCTCTCCCCACCTCCACCCGTCAAACCTTCATCTCTTCATTCTGCTTCTTGAATTCTTCATCTTCATCAGAGTCACACTCTGGGAACTGATAGATGTTGATCTCCTCCTCTTTCAATTGGTCCCGGATCTCGGAGCGAACAAAGGGAGACACTGAGGCGTGACCCACAGACATTGCATGGCCAGAGACGGTAGGGTATAGAGATACAGGGTGGTCAGGGAGAACGGAAGATGTGAAGGACATCTTCCATGTGAGAGAGAACCACACAAGACGACCAAAATCAAAGTCTCGGAGACATGGTAGTGAGAAACTCAGAAAGGCAGGACAGACGTCAAAGGGACAGTGGGCAAGCACATTGAGGACAGTGAGACAGTCCGTCATCATTATCACGGGGCCAAAGACATTGTGAGGGCCATCCTCACAGGTACTAGCCATGCATCTGCTTCCGGGGCTGTTTGGTCATTCTGTTCTGAGCCTGAGCCCTTAGGGACATGGCTGCCTGTGGCAGGTTCGTTCACCCTTTCCTCAAACCCCACCCCCCAGTCTGGCCTAGTGACCCCTGCTCTAAAAAGGCCACCCCAAGATGGAAAAGTCAAAGGCCGGAGGAGGTTCAGGGGTGGCATGTGTTCTCATTTAGCGCCGACGGCCGGGCGTCAGCCATACCTTCTGCTTGAGGACCTGCGTTTCCCTGGGCATCAGGGCATCTGCTTTGCCGATGACTGGGATGATATTGACTTTCTCGTGCACCGCCCGGAGAAACGCCACATCTAGGGGCCGGAGCCTGCGGCCGGGATTGGTCAGGGCTCAACTCCAGGAGTACAGAGGTTTCCCCGGCCTCCCCCGTCACTGGACCCCTAGGGCGCCCTCCAGACCCTCTGCCGAACGGTGAGATGAAGTAGAGGCAGCAGTGGACTCTGGAATCCTGGATGTTCTTCCTGTTCAGGCCACTCTCGTCCCTGAGGTATTGCTCAAACTGCTCCTCGATGAAGCGAACCACGGGCAGCCAGCTGGGGTGGGGGAGGTGTACAGTCTGAGCTCCCAGGGCAGGGAACAGGGTGAAGCTAGCCAGGGCTGTGGGGTGGGAAGTAACTGCTTTGCTTCCAAGCTAAGGCATCAGGGGCAACTGGCAAGGGCCTATGAGACATCAAGAAGTGTGGTGGCCACACACCTGTAATCCCAGCACTCAGGAAGCTGAGTCAGGGGGATTGCTACATTTGGGTCCAGCATGGCCTCCACAGTGAGTTCCAGGCCAGCCTGGGCTAATGTGACGCCATCTCAAAAAGCAAAAAGGAGTGAATTTGAGGTCTCTGAGCTACACAGGGAAACCTTGTCTCAAGAGAAGTCATCTTCCATGTGAGAGAGAACCACACAACACGACCAAAGAAGAAACACTGGACACTTTGGGCCAGATTGTTACCAGAAACAGGTGCGGCCTTTTGGGTCAAGGAGTCATGGCAAGCTTGCCTACAGCTGACCCCTTCCATAATGGAAGAGAGGCTTAGTTCCTGCCCCTTCGCCCCTTACCAGTCTGAGCAGTCCACAGAGTCCCCAAAGCCAGGCGTGTCCACCAAGGTCAGCTTCACCTTAACACCTCCCTCCTCGATCTCCACACCCCGGCGCTCAATGGTCAGAGTTTGTTTGGTGCGAGCTGCGGGTGCAGAGAAATTGGCTGCATGGGGGCTCTGAGGCAGGACCCCCCATTCCTAGCACCCCAGCTGCCCCGTGAGTTTTTTCAGGGGAGGGAAATGGTCTCAGAAAACCCGTGGCCATCAAAATCCCCGGACAGAAAGGGAAAGAATGCAGGCTGATGACCACAGGAAGAGGCCGGGCACACCGCAGAGAGAAGGCCAGGACAGCAGCAGGGCTGGGCAGCCCGCAGGGGTGGAGGCAAGGGGCAGGTCTTACCGCTGGCATCTGGCACCTGCCGGTCCTCATAAAGGTTGGTGAGGAACAGGCTGTTGATGAGGGTGGACTTCCCCAGGCCTGACTCCCCTGGGCACGAGACAGGCCCACTGGTCAGATGGGAGGGCGGCCGGGACCTCCTGGGTACATCACCCCTGGGTCCCTCCCCAGAGCCCACCGACCTGCCACCATGAGTGTGAAGTCAAACCCCTTCTTGACAGACTTGCGGTGCAGCTGGTTGGGGAGGGCAGCAAAGCCCACGTATTCCTTGTCCTGGGGGGGGGGGGGGGGGGGTGAAGGGAGACAGTATGAGGCCCCTAGACGTGGCGGGGAGTGCCACAGGACCACCTGAACCCCAACGCTAGGACGTCCACTTACTGTGGCTTATCTCTGATCTGGGGACCCTCGGGGGAGAGGCCAGGGCCCCAGATGCCTAGATTCGGGGGCCCAAAACTCACCATGGCTCTGCTGGCTGCCTCTGCACCTGGCATTTCTCCCCACTTCCTCTGGTGGGGCAGGAAGTTGAATGTGTCAAACGAGGGGGGGGGTGAAAGTGAGGGGTAGGGCAGGAAGCTGAGCAGTTCGAACAGAGGTGTGAACCCCCTGCTGTTCAAAGAGTTTGTTTTTAACTGTTTGGGGCGCGTGGATATGTGCACCTGAGTCGAGGCCAGAGCAGGTCAGAGATGCTCCCGGGACCTGGACTCACCGGGAGTCGTGAGCTGCCTGACAGGGATGACGGCAACTGGATTCGGGTCCTCGGTGAGAGAAGTGCACGCTCTTGGTCAGCCACTTCTGCAGCCCCGTGTGTCTCCTGTCACCCTGGAGGTAGCTCCAGTCCCCTAGTGCTCCACACGCTTATGCCAAGCTGCTGTGCAGCCCTTTCCTCATAGTGAGAGGCGGGTGTGAGCAGAAAGCCACGTTGGCCTACCTGTCTGTGTCTGACGCCCTGGCTGGACTCTGACAGGAAGACAGGAACCGTGTCTTTCTAATTCTTCTGTTCTGGGTGCTTCATGAAGCTAGTTAGAATAAAGGCTAGAAGTCTGCAGAACATAAGAAAGATCCTTGCTTTGGGGTCAGAAAGAGGCCCCCACAAAGTCTAGATCTACCCCTGGCCTGCTGTGTGACCCTAATTAGGTAAGTCATTTGACCTCTGTCCACTCCAGGTTCCTCAAGGTAAAATGAAGGACACATATTTCTATAGGGAGAATTTTTTAATTTTGGTTTCTCTAAAAAAACGCAGAAATATTGTAAGAATATGTTTTTGATCTGGGTGGCACACACCTGTGATCCCAGTTCCTGGGGAGGCAGAGGCAGGTGGATCTCTATGAGTTTGAGGCCAGTCTGGTCTACAAAGTGAGTGAGGACAGCCAAGGCTACACAGAGAAACCCTGTCTTGCAAAAGCAAGAAAAAAAAAAGCAACAAGAACAACCAAAGAGTATGTTTTTGTTTTAATCCCAGGTGTGTGCTATGGGGCTGCTTCGAAGCAGCCGACTATAAATTGTCTTGTGCTCTGGCACAGGCATGATTTTTCCTGCTGCAAATAGTTCCTGCAATTGTGTGACACTTGGAATTCTGGGGACTTTTCAGAGGCTACATAAATGCAGAAGCAGGTGGATTGCTGTGAGTTCACAGCCAGCCTCTTCTGCAAAGCAGGCTAGCCAAGGCTACACAGAGAAACCCTGTCTCAAAAAAACATAAAAAAAAAAAAAAACAGAACAAACAAACAAACAAACAAAAAAAAAACCCAACAAGAAAAGAAAAGGAAGAAGGAAAGGGGTGAAGAAAGGTGAAAGTACACACTCCAGTGTGTGATCCGGACCATTCTGGGTTTTCTGTGACCTGGGTTTTGATCTGTCTCGGTTAGGGTTTCCGTGGCTGTGAAGAGACAACAACCAAGACAGCTCTTACAAAGGGAAATGTTTGATTGGGGCCGGCTTATAGTTTCAGAGGTTCAGTCCATTATCATCATGGCGGGAAGCGTGCCCTGTGCAGGCAGACATGGTGCTGCCAGAGCTGAGAGTTCTCCATCTTGTTCTGAGGCAGGAGAAGGGGTCTGCATTCCACACTGGGAAGAGCTTGAGCACCGGAGACCTCAAAGCCCACCCCCACAGTGACACACTTCCTCCTGCAAGGCCACGCTCTGTAGTGCCACTCTCCATGAGCCGAGCCTTCAAACACATGAATCTGTGGAGGCCAAACCTAGTCAAACCACCACAGCATCCAAATCCATATAACGTACAAACTTTGCAACATGTGAGCTGGGTGGCCCTGGCTGTGTGAATGAATTCCTCTGGACTTTTAAAACTAGTTGTATAAAATAGTCTTCAAGACCCTGTCTGATCTGGACCCTGCCCACTCTCCACTTTAACACTATTTCAGGGTCTCCGTAGGTAGCCCAAGATGGCCTAGAACTTTCCATCCTCTTGTTTCAACCTCCCAGTGCTGGGATGACAGGCCTGTGCAGTCTGGCCTGGCTTCTCTGTTTCTTTTGGTTGTATTTATTATATTCCTTTGAGCCTCTACTACAGCCCGAACTCCTGTGCTCCCCTCCCCAGTCAATGCAGCGAAGCCCTCTGTGGCTGCATTTGCAGACAGAGCGTGGGAATAGAGAAGGCAGAGGAATGAAGAGTCACATCTGGGAGCTTTTCCGCTCCTTATCTAGCACATGGGATTGAAAGCCCTTGCCATATTCAACTCACAAGTTCTGTGCTGTGTCCCAGTTTGCTTCTTATTGCTGTAATAAAGACCATGACCAAAAGCCACTTGAGGAGGAGAGGATTTATTTGACATGAAGTTTCTACCATCATCCACCTTTGAGGGAAGTCAAGTCAGGAACTCAAACAGGGCAGGGACCTGGAGGCAGGAGCTGAAGCAAAGATCACGCAGGAACCCTGCTCCTGGCTTGCACCTTCTGGCTTGTCCACATTGTTTGTGGGTCTTTCTTTTCTTTTGTGTTTTTTTTTTTTTTTTTTTTTTTTTTTTTTTTTTTTTTTTTTATTTTGTGTTTTTTTTTTTTTTTTTTTTTTTTTTTTTTTTTTTTTTTTTTTTTTTTGGGGGGGGGGGGGGGGTTTTTTTTTTTTTTTTTTTTTTTTTTTTTTTTTTTTTTTTTTTTTTTTAGTTTAAGAGCGGGTCTCTCTATATAGCTGTCATGAAACTCACCATGTAGGCTAGGCTGGTCTTGAATTCACATACACCTACCTGCCTCTGTCTCCTAAATGCTGGGATTAAAAGCACAGTTTGCTATTAAACGACCTGTGGTAGTTTGAATAAGAGTGACCCCCATAAACTCACACGATTACATTATGGTCTGAGATTTTATATTTAACTGTTAATTATTTTGCTCCCCGTGTCTGCTTGCTGTTTTTTATGAGCAGATTATCATGTACCCCAAATGTTGCTGTGTAACCTTGCCTCCAAAAAATCCCTGATTGAGCAATAAAATGCCTACACCTGGGCAGGGAAAAAAAAAAAAAAGAGATAGGTGGAGCTAAGGTTTGATCTGAGGACAGAAGGATCACGGGAAAGGACAGAGAGGTATGGGAGAGGAGAAAAGGCAGTCGCCATGGGTTAGCGTAAAGAAAAGCCACATGGCCGGGAGATGCTTGCTCTGAGGTCGGGAATGGAGAGTCGCAGCCTAAATGAAAAGCATGAGCAAATATTTATGGGAATTATGGGTGGGAAGTAGCTCGGATAGGAATAATTAAAGCAAGAGACATGGGATGTGGGGCTGGGCAGTGACAAGGTAGCCGAAGGGGTTAATCCCTGCCCGGCCCGAGGCGTAAGAAATATTAAAGCTCTAACGGGTGTCCGTGTCTTTTATGGCTGTGTTAGCAGTTAAATAATAACCACTGTAACAATGTGTGGATTAATAGTAAACATTCACGGCCAATTTTCCACATCACTCATCTGTTCTATTCTATTTGTGTTTGGTTCCCAGTTGCTGGACTGTTCAGGAATGATTAGGAGGTGTCCTTCTAGGCGTCAGTTAAAGCTGGGGCCTACTCCTCTGCATGATCCACTGACGACTCAGACAGGGTGAATTAAGTTAGCCTCACAGCCACTGAGGAGGAACACAGCCATGAGCATGACTCACAGCGCTCAAGATAATGGTGTCTGCAGAGAAACCGTGCTTAGATACGAGCAAGGGAAAGGGATAATTATATCCATCCACACCGCCGGCCCTCCTTTTTACTTCTTATCAGCTTGAACAGACTGGTAGGGAGTTGGGGTGTGAAGCGTGATGCCCCGAATTCTATTCCTGGCACTGAGAAGGAGGGGAGGAACGGATGAAGGGAGAGGCAGAAAAAGAAAAGGAAAGGCTATGAATGTCTGTGCGTGTGTGTAATCCTAGCACTAGGGATGCTGAGGCCGGGGGATTTCACAGTCCAGGCTGGTCTGAGCTGCATATTGAGACCTGCCTTAAAATTATAGAGTGTGAGAGAACGGAATCTAAGCCCTTCCACTGCTCATCCTTCATGGACACATCCAGTTGATTTCCAGATCTTGTCTATGCTTCACAGAAACTGGCCTCCTCTCCTCGATGGGGGAAAAAAGCAAAATGCAGCAAAGCACAGTTGTCTTGTACCTGTAATCTCAGCACTTGGCAAGCTGAGGCAGGAGGATTGTCCAAAGTTTGAGGCCAGAGTGGTCTACACAGTGAGTTTCAAGACTGCCATATAGTGAGACCCTGTCTCAAAATAAACAACATATGCAAGGCGGTGGTGGCTTACACCTCTACTCCCAGCACTCCAGAGGCTGAGGCAACGGCAGGCGATTTCTCAGTTCAGGGTTCTACAGTAAGTGTTCCAGGACAGCCAAAGCTATATTGAGAAAGCTTGTCTCAAAAAAAAAAAAAAAAAAAAAAAAGAGGAAGAGTTGAGTGGAAGAAGAAGAGGAGGAAAGAGGAAAGGCTATAAAAACCAGGGACTAAGAGCTGGGATGGCTCTGTGGATAAAATCATTAAATCATTTGCTGTGCAAGCATGCGGGCCTGACCTGAGTCCAGATCTGTGGCATTCATGTGCTTTTTGGACTGGCAAGATGGCTCAGTAGGTAAAAGCCTACAAGAAAGCGCGCATACACACACACACACACACACATAAAAACCCAGTGCTGGGAAGGGGCAGGATAGAGAGAGGCAGGAGGATTGCTGAAGCTTGCTGGTTGCCAAACAGCAAGTTCTAGGTTCAAGAGACCATGTAAAAAGAGTCAGGCAAAGAGGAACAGAGGAGTGCAAAATGTACACACACACAAACACAGAGACAGACAGACACACACACATACACACACACAGATACAGAGAACTACAAAATTAAGCCCCAAACCCCAAACTGCCAATCACCACACAGGAAAATGCACTAAGCAGGTGGTTCTCAAAAGACAAAATGCAAATAGCCAATAAATATTCTTAAAAGTGTCCAATAGCCAGGCAATAGTGGCCCACGCCTTTAATCCCAGCATTCAGGGAGGCAGAAGCAGGCCGATCTCTGTGAGTTTGAGGCCAGTCTGGTCTACA